GACATGGAGTAAATGGACACCACCCGCACCCCACACTTTTCTCTCAGATTTTTGTTAAAAAATCTAATTAATTATATACAATAAATAATTTAACATAAACAATGTGTTAAATATAAAATTTTTTCGGGTTATACGGACGGGGCGAGCCCTACGGGTCACGAAAATTCCCTGCCCGCACACCTCTGGAGGTAACATATATTATTTCAGCCAAAAAATAGTCGTAAAAACTGCCACGCGACCTTCTCTGTTGGTTTCAACGAGTTTTATACGTGGGAGACCATTTGTTCTTATCCTACTTGTTTCTGGTTTATTTCATTATGTCTCAACCAAAGTGTGTGTAAAGAAGAAGAGCTGCATTTTCATGCAAAAATTATTTTTAAAACAGCAATATCGCGACTTTCGTGAATGGTGGAACTGTGAAGGGACCGATACTTGATTCCCATTTTCTCTAGGAATTATCACCGCGACACTTGCAATTCCTCGGTACATTAGGAATTCCTATTTCTCTGTCCTTAGATACTGCTGGTAAAGCTAGGATCTTTAGCCATTAGTCCAGATTTATGGAGTGATAAATTCAAACACAACAGTTCTCTTGGATTAACTGCTCATTTTGTTGACAATAAATATATTTTACATTCAATCGATTTATGTTGTGAACCTTACAATGAAGTAAATAAATGAGCCGATAATATTTTAAAGGTTGGAATTAATATTAAGCCGCCCCCCCCCCCTCAAAAAAAAGTCGATTTTCGTCAAAAAATTGAAAATTGAGATAACACCATGGGGGGATAGCCCATGTTCTCCTCTTTCAGAATCACTATAGTTTTTTTTTTCCAAAGACCATTTTTGGCCGATTTCTTTTAGTGATTTTTGAGAGGTCCTCTATGTCAAAAACGGCAGTATAATTAGGTCTTTGACCTATAAAGACTGATTAATTAATTAATCAAGCGCTCAGCGTGTGCAGAATTAAAAGTTACGTACGAAAGTTAGGTCAGTTTCCTCAAAAAACGCGTGAAAAATGCAGAAAATTTAAAGAAAAAGCAAAAATTGCAGAAAAAAATGTTTTTTGCGTTTTTCTCAAAGTCATGTTTTTCCATTTTCCATCCAATTTCTCATGCCTTCAACTATGTTTTTTCGAATTTTTCTTTTTACCATTCGATAGAGCATGCAAAGACGCAGGGCATGGCGTGCTCTGGTTTTTGAAAAAGCTTTTTTTTATGCCCAAAAAAGATCGCCTACAAAATTTACTTGCAGTTTTTTAGGCGTTTTTCAAGGAATGTGAATTCTGGAAACTTTTTCGGCTTACAGAAAGGACTTTTTAAAAATCCGAGCACGTCATGCCCTGCATCTTTGCATGCTCTATCGGATGGTAAAAATAAA